TACATTGATCCATGTTCACGTTGCAAGTGCTCTTGTCTTTGGCAAGTGTGGTCCATGGCGGTATCCGATCCAACCAAGTACCCACTGGTTGTTCTTCAAAGTAAAAACGTCGAAGGCCGTTTTGACGTATGGCAACTTTCCCACATTACTTGATACGTGGAAGATCGTCTTTATGGTGTTCATGCCAAGTGTCATAGTTGACTTGGGAATTGAAATAGGAAGGTAGACCAGTCGTTCTGCTGCTGGGTTGTAGTATGATTACCTTCACGAAGCACACGTCTAGGTAACGCATCACTGCATCCTGGACATCCTTGTTTCCAAAGTCATCAGACGAGCGTTTGTCGAAGTTTCCTCCGGAAGGCAAACCTCGGCTGAATGCTAGCTGCGATATACCTCTACCTACTCAATACAATTCCAACATATCAACCTTGTCGCGTCGTCCATGGCATAACGTTGGGAGCATGGAGAATACATCTGCGCATGTTTCAGTAGGTCGCCGGTAACATGATGAAAAACCCCTCTGCATCATCGCGTTCCGTGTCGGAGTTAAGGGGGGCCTCGGTGCAATACGCACTACATCCGAGACCTTTGAAGTAATCACCGCAGTCGTCGTTGCCTTCTTCGACTACCTGGGGTATCTTGCGTGGTTCGATGCCCACTTTTTTGTCGGTTTTCTGTTTTTTCTTTTTGTTTGATTCGGGCATCCGTCGGTAGTGCTGTCTGTTGTTCAGTATCAGGTGAACTTAGAGCCGAAAATTCGGGAATAGAGGGGAGCATGCGGCCACGCTCAATCGAAGAGGGGGGGAGACGATCGTCATCGACGAACGCAACTCGCCTGGGGCGTGGTCGCTGGTCCTCTTGTCCAATGAGAACCGGTTCTGGCGGTTCCCAGTATAACCGAATATTTGTCACACCATTCGGTAACGGAGCATTTTCATTGTGCCCGATAGGCTGGCCCTGGATCTTGAAGTCTTGTATAATCCGATTGTCATCCAAGTTCACCGTTACCCGTCTTACGACATGGTCCCATTCAGGGCCGTCCTCTGGAGACTGAACGTACGTTCGAGCTCCTTTATCCAGTCGTGTGTGGATGATAAGGTATACAACACTCGTGTGGTTTCTTTGTTTTGTGTAAACCCATTTGATCAATCAATCTCGCGGTCATGATCGCCAATGTTTTGTTGCGCCAATCTGCCTTCTGAGCCTTCTGAGCGCCTTGGCCATACCAGTCCAATTCCTGCTCAGCAAGTTGGGCAGGTTTCCCTGCAGTTTGACACGTACATCTCCACAAGTTAGTTGGGATGAGCGTGTAGGTAGTTGCCACGTGCAGATATGATCTGTCAGGAAGTTTACTTGAACGGCCGTATTTCAAACCGAAATGGCAGCATCGCATACGCATGACCTGCAAATCTAGATCTTCAATGGCATCTCATATGGGATCCTGTTTCCAGAAATAACCTGGTGGCCCCAAGTACCATAGACATACGTAGAGCCCGAGCGTTAGTCATCAGATTTTGGATGCCGGGCGATGCCAGGATTTCTTGCGCGGGCCTCCAGGACGGTGCCGTCGCCCAAAAGGACCCCAACCAAAACGGGCCAATCAAAGCTCAGGAGGCCGCCCAGGCAGTCCAAGAGCGCCCAGAATCGCCGAAATCGCTCCAAGACGCCCAAGAAGGCCCCCAAACAGCCCAAGAGACCTCCGAAACGCCCCAAGAGGCCTTCAAGAGGCTTCCCAAGAGGGCCCCAAGAGGCCAAAATCATTGTGTTTCCATAGATATCTGAAGGGTTTGAGCGTTCTCGCCTTTTCGGTTTCCCGACGCTCCCAGACTGCCAAGATCGCCCCAGCAGGCCTCCAAGAGGGCTAAAAACAAAACCCAAGAGGCGCCCAAGAAAGCCAGGATAGAGGCGCCCAAACGGCCCAAGAGGCGCCCAGGAGGCCCCAAAGACGGCCCCAAAAAGGCGCCACTGATGGAGGACCCGACCAGACATTTCGAGCCCTCGGCCCCGAGGAGCCCCCAGGAGGCCCCCCCCAAAAAAAACCGAGAAACCGAAAAGGCCCCAGGAGGCCCCTAAGAGGCCCCAAGAGGCCCTCCACAGGCCCCCAAGAGGCCCCCAAGAGGCCCCAAAACTGTCCACTAAAGGCCCTCCGAGACCGCTCCGAGAATGCTCCAAGAAGCATCCCTGAGAACTCTAACCCACAACCCAAGAGCGGTGGCGGGATGAGCCGAGGGCCACTAGGCATGTTCCCTATCTATACAAGAATAAAGACTCTACCCCCCGTTCCGAATTACCGACACCCCCTTGGGACAATGCCATTTACAAATGATTATGCCCCATCGCTTTTTCGATCAAGTATGAACGCATACCATCCCAACCAGGCCGTTATCGCCCCCCCGTGCCTGTCAAATTATACGTCGTGCGCGCATTCCTCCAGCAAACATTACCGGCCACCGGGACCCCCTTGACGTACAAAACAAAACAAGAACAAAAAAAGATGCGCACGCGCGCGGCGTCGCGCGCGCACCCCGAAATCATTCAAGAACCCCGGGGGGTCAGGAGTTCAAGATCGAGATCCCCGAATACATGTGCACAAATATTGGGAATACTAAAACAGCATGCGCGCGCCCCCTTGCGATTTGCGATCCGAAATTGGGATCAAGTTGGTTTTCCAGTATTGCCACCACATGCGAACAAGCGGGTCTCCTGCGCGCTATCGAAACCATTCGAACGGCCTTGCGCGCTTGCTGGGGGAGGGCAACGATGCCTGCCAAATAGTTCCATGCGGGCCACCCGCGCGCCTCGGCCGCGCGCGCGTGTCGAAACTTCTTTCCCGAAAAAACTGTCATCATCGACGCGTGGACACCATCATCGTCATCGGCGTGACCAGCATCGGCGCCACCATTGGCCTTGCCGACGTCATCGTCATCATCGTCACGATCACCGCTACAATCATCATCAGCATCAGCATCATCATAAGCACCATGATCATCATCATCATCATCATCATCATCATCATCATCATCATCATCATCATCATCATCACCATCGAATCTGCCGTTGCCGACGTCACCATGATACTGCGCTGGCCAGAACCACTGACTCGCACTTAGTGCCCGCGCGCCAATGCGACCTGTAAGACGCGCTGAGAAATCCCAATCGGTGAGCGCCACATCGGCCGCGTCGGCTGCGCAAAACCAGCTGGCCGGTGTGCGCGCGGGCATGCCTGCGCCAGCGCGGCCGCAGGGATGCGCCAGCCAGCGCCAAGCACCCACCGCAATCGTCGCCGCATGAGTTTTGCAAACCAAGTTGCGGACAGGACGGGCAGTGGAGCTGACAACTCAAACTTCTTCCAAACTACTTGCACCGCGTAGGTTGCTTACGATAGACTGCGCCACAAATACTGCACAACCTAGCTTACACAACATAGATTGCACCACATCCATTCTCCTGTCTGAAAAAAGAATGGACTATACCACCTTCCCGTTCCAGGGCTTACCGCTATCCCCTCGAATAGCACAACTTACATGCGAGTATGCCCCATCGTTCATTTGCGTATGACCGCATACCACCACAGGGAGTCCGGTTCTCCCCCCATGCATGCCAAAGAAATCTATGCGCACACACCCCTTTATCCAAAAATCGTTTTGGCGGCCCCGTGCCAAAAAAAATCCACACGAACGCGTCGTCGCGCGCGCATGCCGAAATCCGTCAAAACCCGCAGGTTCCGTAAGGAATTCACGATCGAGATTCCCGAAAGCCTATGAAACCCAATGGTGTTTCAACATCTGTTCTCGGAAAGACGCGCGCCCTCTTGCGAATGTGTTGGGAAACTACAAGTTGTTCAACGGCCACGCGGGCCTCCCGCGCGCGCAAGTCGAAATCATTCGAACGCCCTTGCACGCTTGCGGGAGAAGCACGATCCCTGTCAAATGATACGACGCGGGCCACTCGCGCGAGCCCAAGCCAGGAGGGCGCATGCACCGACCCCAGGCCCAGGATCGGCCTGGCCAGGCTGTGTGCAGGTGTCTAGTCGGTGCCCTCCGACATGCCGTCGTCTGTACCGTCCTCTACTCTCGAGCGACCTCCTGCGGGCTTTAACTCGCCGCGGTGACAGCACCCCCGGATCACCACGTGTCCCTCGGGGCAGCGGCTCCCGAAAGCCCTCTGCATCTTCGGCACCCTCCGCTCCCGCTGGCCCGTGCCCGTCCAGAGACGCACTGGCGGGCTCGAGCCGTGACGACCTGCGCGCTGGCCTCAGACACCGCGTGAATCTTCGAACCACGAAGCACCTCAGGACGTTGATCTTCGAACCTCGATCCTCGATGCTCGAACTTCAACCCTCGTCCAAAGATCTCCGCCGAGCCGCAGCAGCGACGCGACAGACCTGGTTTCAGAGCGATCGCGACCTTGCTACGGTAGGTCGTGCGATGCCGGCGCGAGTTATAATTCTCGCCTCCTTCGGCGGGGTGCTGGGGCCCACGGACGAACTGGTTCTCCTGAAGATTAGATTAGATCAGAATCACCATTGGCACCATCTCTATCTGTCTCTGCCGTGCACTTGGGAACGGTCATACTATTCGAAATTCCTTCGATGCAGGGTTCTGGTGCGGTGAGCCTGCTCTAGCGGGACGCCTCGAAAGCTGGGCCTCGAGGTGACGGGACGTTGCCCTGCGGGACGATGCTTTTTGGCAACGACAGGGATACCAGCCTGCCACATCAGCGATCGTCTTGACAATCACTCGAATCAGCGCTGAAACACGCTGCGGTCACGTCTACCCTGCTGTACTGAGGAAGTGACATCACAATTCCAACAGCGCCGAGCAGGGCGCGGGGGAATACCATTCCCTTGATAAAGTCCAGTCCCGCTGAAGAATGGTGAAGGCGGCAGACGGATCCACGACCACTCACTGTTCATCAAAGCGGCGAGTCTGTGCACAACTCCCAATCGCCCCATGCAAACCCAGTCTGACCATCCTGATAGAACATGCCTACGATCGCCATCATCGCAGCGGGGATCCGGTGTAGAGCGCCCAGTCGCCCCACGCGGAGCCTGTCAAACCGTCCTGGAAAAACATTCCGATGATAGCCATCATGGCAAGGCGACCGTTGGCAATCTCCGCTGCCAGCTTCTTCTGCTTCTCCCCAGCGTCACTGGATGTCAGCACCTTGAAGCCGAAGTCGCCCGCGGCGGCAGCGGTGCCAGGGGACTGGTCCTGGGACAGCTCGCAGAACGCGCCGTACGCCACGATCTGCGCCCAGCCCGCCGCGGGAACCTTGGAGATCGCCCCGAGCCCATTCGGGATGTCCGCGAACTTCAGGCCAGCCGAAGGCGACAAGTAGCCGGGCAGCTTGCCGGTGATTTCGGGCGTGATGTAACCCATCGTCGCCAGCATGCTCACGCGGCCGTGCTTGAGCTCTGTCTGGCGCCTCCTGGCGAAGTTCTCTGTGCTACCATCCGCCGTGAACCCGGCAGGGTCCCAAAAGCCCACGGGGTCCTGCACGCCCAGCTCGCTCTCGAACGCGCGCAGCGGGGATCCGGTGTAGAGCGCCCAGTCGCCCCACGCGGAGCCGGTCAAACCGTCCTGGAAAAACATTCCGATGATAGCCATCATGGCAAGGCGACCATTGGCAATCTCCGCTGCCAACTTCTTCTGCTTCTCCCCAGCGTCACTGGACGTCAGCACCTTAAAGCCGAAGTCGCCTGCGGCGGCAGCGGTGCCAGGGGACTGGTCCTGGGACAGCTCGCAGAACGCGCCGTACGCCACGATCTGCGCCCAGCCCGCCGCGGGAACCTTGGAGATCGCCCCGAGCCCGTTCGGGATGTCCGCGAACTTCAGGCCAGCCGAAGGCGACAAGTAGCCGGGCAGCTTGCCTGTGATTTCGGGCGTGATGTAACCCATCGTCGCCAGCATGCTCACGCGGCCGTGCTTGAGCTCTGTCTGGCGCCTCCTGGCGAAGTTCTCTGTGCTACCATCCGCCGTGAACCCGGCAGGGTCCCAAAAGCCCACGGGGTCCTGCACGCCCAGCTCGCTCTCGAACGCGCGCAGCGGGGATCCGGTGTAGAGCGCCCAGTCGCCCCACGCGGAGCCAGTCAAACCGTCCTGGAAAAACATTCCGATGATAGCCATCATGGCAAGGCGACCGTTGGCAATCTCCGCTGCCAACTTCTTCTGCTTCTCCCCAGCGTCACTGGACGTCAGCACCTTGAAGCCGAAGTCGCCTGCGGCGGCAGCGGTGCCAGCGGACTGGTCCTGGGACAGCTCGCAGAACGCGCCGTACGCCACGATCTGCGCCCAGCCCGCCGCGGGAACCTTGGAGATCGCCCCGAGCCCATTCGGGATGTCCCGCGAACTTCAGGCCAGCCGAAGGCGACAAGTAGCCAGGCAGCTTGCCAGTGATTTCGGGCGTGATGTAACCCATCGTCGCCAGCATGCTCACGCGGCCGTGCTTGAGCTCTGTCTGGCGCCTCCTGGCGAAGTTCTCTGTGCTACCATCCGCCGTGAACCCGGCAGGGTCCCAAAAGCCCACGGGGTCCTGCACGCCCAGCTCGCTCTCGAACGCGCGCAGCGGGGATCCTGTGTAGAGCGCCCAGTCGCCCCACGCGGAGCCGGTCAAACCGTCCTGGAAAAACATTCCGATGATAGCCATCATGGCAAGGCGACCGTTGGCAATCTCCGCTGCCAACTTCTTCTGCTTCTCCCCAGCGTCACTGGACGTCAGCACCTTAAAGCCGAAGTCGCCTGCGGCGGCAGCGGTGCCAGCGGACTGGTCCTGGGACAGCTCGCAGAACGCGCCGTACGCCACGATCTGCGCCCAGCCCGCCGCGGGAACCTTGGAGATCGCCCCGAGCCCGTTCGGGATGTCCGCGAACTTCAGGCCAGCCGAAGGCGACAAGTAGCCGGGCAGCTTGCCGGTGATCTCGGGCGTGATGTAACCCATCGTCGCCAGCATGCTCACGCGGCCGTGCTTGAGCTCTGTCTGGCGCCTCCTGGCGAAATTCGCCGTGCTACCATCCGCTGTGAACCCGGCAGGGTCCCAAAAGCCCACGGGGTCCTGCACGCCCAGCTCGCTCTCGAACGCGCGCAGCGGGGATCCGGTGTAGAGCGCCCAGTCGCCCCACGCGGAGCCGGTCAAGCCGTCCTGGAAAAACATTCCGATGATAGCCATCATGGCAAGGCGACCATTGGCAATCTCCGCTGCCAACTTCTTCTGCTTCTCCCCAGCGTCACTGGACGTCAGCACCTTGAAGCCGAAGTCGCCTGCGGCGGCAGCGGTGCCAGGGGACTGGTCCTGGGACAGCTCAGCCGAACTCGCGCGCCGTAGGCCAACGATCTGCGCCCAGCCGCGCGGGAACCTTGGAGATCGCCCCGAGCCCATTCGGGATGTCCGCGAACTTCAGGCCAGCCGAAGGCGACAAGTAGCCAGGCAGCTTGCCTGTGATTTCGGGCGTGATGTAACCCATCGTCGCCAGCATGCTCACGCGGCCGTGCTTGAGCTCTGTCTGGCGCCTCCTGGCGAAGTTCTCTGTGCTACCATCGGCCGTGAACCCGGCAGGGTCCCAAAAGCCCACGGGGTCCTGCACGCCCAGCTCGCTCTCGAACGCGCGCAGCGGGGATCCGGTGTAGAGCGCCCAGTCGCCCCCCGCGGAGCCAGTCAAACCCGTCCTGGAAAACCATTCGACTGCATCGGTCATGGCAAGGCGACCGTTGGCGATCTCCGCTGCCAACTTCTTCTGCTTCTCCCCAGCGTCACTGGACGTCAGCACCTTGAAGCCGAAGTCGCCTGCGGCGGCAGCGGTGCCAGCGGACTGGTCCTGGGACAGCTCGCAGAACGCGCCGTACGCCACGATCTGCGCCCAGCCCGCCGCGGGAACCTTGGAGATCGCCCCGAGCCCGTTCGGTATGTCCGCGAACTTCAGGCCAGCCGAAGGCGACAAGTAGCCGGGCAGCTTGCCGGTGATCTCGGGCGTGATGTAACCCATCGTTGCCAGCATGCTCACGCGGCCGTGCTTGAGCTCTGTCTGGCGCCTCCTGGCGAAATTCGCCGTGCTACCATCCGCCGTGACCCGTGCAGGGTCCCAAAGCCGCAGGGGTTCCCTGCACCCAGCTCGCTCTATCGAAACGCGCGCAGCGGTGATGCCTGTGTAGAGCGCCCAGTCGCCCCAGGCGGAGCCCGTCAGACCGTCCTGGAAGAACATGCCGATGATAGCCATCATGGCAAGGCGACCGTTGGCAATCTCCGCTGCCAACTTCTTCTGCTTCTCCCCAGCGTCACTGGACGTCAGCACCTTAAAGCCGAAGTCGCCTGCGCGGCAGCGGTGCCAGGGACTGGTCCTGGGACAGCTCGCAGAACGCGCCGTAGCCACGATCTGCGCCCAGCCCGCCGCGGGAACCTTGGAGATCGCCCCGAGCCCGTTCGGGATGTCCGCGAACTTCAGGCCAGCCGAAGGCGACAGATAGCCAGGCAGCTTGCCGGTGATTTCGGGCGTGATGTAACCCATCGTCGCCAGCATGCTCACGCGGCCGTGCTTGAGCTCTGTCTGCGCCTCCTGGCGAAGTTTCTCTGTGCTACCATCCGCCGTGAACCCGGCAGGGTCCCAAAAGCCCACGGGGTCCTGCACGCCCAGCTCGCTCTCGAACGCGCGCAGCGGGGATCCGGTGTAGAGCGCCCAGTCGCCCCACGCGGAGCCAGTCAAACCGTCCTGAAAAAACATTCCGATGATAGCCATCATGGCAAGGCGACCATTGGCAATCTCCGCTGCCAACTTCTTCTGCTTCTCCCCAGCGTCACTGGACGTCAGCACCTTAAAGCCGAAGTCGCCTGCGGCGGCAGCGTGCCAGGGGACTGGTCCTGGGACAGCTCGCAGAACGCGCCGTAGGCCACGATCTGCGCCCAGCCCGCCGCGGGAACCTTGGAGATCGCCCCGAGCCCATTCGGGATGTCCGCGAACTTCAGGCCAGCCGAAGGCGACAAGTAGCCGGGCAGCTTGCCGGTGATTTCGGGCGTGATGTAACCCATCGTCGCCAGCATGCTCACGCGGCCGTGCTTGAGCTCTGTCTGGCGCCTCCTGGCGAAAGTTCTCTGTGCTACCATCCGCCGTGAACCCGGCAGGGTCCCAAAAGCCCACGGGGTCCTGCACGCCCAGCTCGCTCTCGAACGCGCGCAGCGGGGATCCGGTGTAGAGCGCCCAGTCGCCCCACGCGGAGCCAGTCAAACCGTCCTGGAAAAACATTCCGATGATAGCCATCATGGCAAGGCGACCATTGGCAATCTCCGCTGCCAACTTCTTCTGCTTCTCCCCGGCGTCACTGGACGTCAGCACCTTAAGCCGAAGTCGCCTGCGGCGGCAGCGGTGCCAGCGGACTGGTCCTGGGACAGCTCGCAGAACGCGCCGTACGCCACGATCTGCGCCCAGCCCGCCGCGGGAACCTTGGAGATCGCCCCCGAGCCCATTCGGGATGTCCGCGAACTTCAGGCCAGCCGACGGCGACAGGTAGCCTGGCAGCTTGCCGGTGATTTCGGGGTGATGTAGCCCATCGTCGCCAGCATGCTCACGCGGCCGTGCTTCAGCTCGGTCTGGCGCCTCCTGGCGAAATTCCGTGCTACCATCCGCCGTGAACCCAGCAGGGTCCCAGAAGCCCACGGGTCCTGCACGCCCAGCTCGCTCTCGAACGCGCGCAGCGGGGATCCGGTGTAGAGCGCCCAGTCGCCCCACGCGAGCCGGTCAAACCGTCCTGGAAAACATTCCGATGATAGCCATCATGGCAAGGCGACCGTTGGCGATCTCCGCTGCCAACTTCTTCTGCTTCTCCCCGGCGTCACTGGACGTCAGCACCTTGAAGCCGAAGTCGCCTGCGGCGGCAGCGGTGCCAGCGGACTGGTCCTGGGACAGCTCGCAGAACGCGCCGTACGCCACGATCTGCGCCCAGCCCGCCGCGGGAACCTTGGAGATCGCCCCGAGCCCATTCGGGATGTCCGCGAACTTCAGGCCAGCCGAAGGCGACAAGTAGCCGGGCAGCTTGCCGGTGATTTCGGGCGTGATGTAACCCATCGTCGCCAGCATGCTCACGCGGCCGTGCTTGAGCTCTGTCTGGCGCCTCCTGGCAAAGTTCTCTGTGCTACCATCCGCCGTGAACCCGGCAGGGTCCCAAAAGCCCACGGGGTCCTGCACGCCCAGCTCGCTCTCGAACGCCGCCATCACGACCCTGTGCTGAGCGGGGCCCTTCGCGCGCGCCTCCCTGCCAGCGCTGGACAGCGCACCCCTGGCGAGCAGGGCGACGGCCACGGACGCCCCGATCATTGTCAGGCCGACTCCGACGGGCGCCGAGGCGGGCGCCGCGCCGGGAGCCGCGGAAACCGGGGCCGGCTCCATGTGGCCATCAAGCCCAGGCCGGCCGAGAGGCGCCGCCACGAAGGCGGTGCCCACCTGGCAGGCCACCAGGCCAGCGGCGAAGGCGGCCACGAGCGCGGCGATGCCGGAGTGCGCCATTGTCTTGTGGTGTTTGAACGAAGGGAGTTCGAATTAAATGGAAGATGCGGGCTGAACGCCCGGCTCTTCAAAAAAAACAATAAGCAAACAAACTTGGGCCAACAAAAGGCTGCAGAGGACGGGGGGGAAACAGGTTCGATTCTTGGGGGCGGTCTCGGAGCCATCGCAGGGCCGTGTGGAGGCAATCGTCGGCCATGTCGGGGGCGCCTGGGCCCTGTTGGAGGCCCTAGAGGACCTGTCGGGCCCTTTCGGAGGCCTTTGGGGCCCTTCTCGGAGACATCTGGAGCTGAAAGTTGAGAGTCTCGAAAGTGCATGTTTGGCACCATACTTGGGGCATCCTGGCTTGGACGATCCTGGGGGCTCGTTTGGCAATCTGGGACGTCTCCTGGAGCCCTTCGGGGCCGTCTTGGTGGTCGCTTGCCGCCCTCGAGGGCTACCTTGACGCCTCTGCGGGCCTCTTGGACCGAGAAGCCACCGACTTGGCCGAAGCAGGGCGCGTCAGCTCCTGGGGCATGGCCACCGATACCCCTGACATTCCACCTAGCTCATCGCTGCAATCAATCAACGAACGGCTCACACGCTGCGCGCGCTCCCCGTCACGGGGTCAGCACGGGGACAGAAAGCGGATTCCCCTTGACGAAGGCGCGAGGCGCGAGGTCCATGCCTCACCTGGCCCGGGTTCTCCTGGGGACGCTTGGGGCCACCCAGATCTACATTGGAGCTGCCGTGGAGCCCTCTGGACTCATCTTGAAGTGTTCGTGGCGCCCTCGGGTCGTCTGCGTGGAAATGGCCCGCTTCGCCGGCAAGTGGCCCAATTCACCGGGAAGAGGATTCTAAATCCTCGGCTGGGCCCTTTGAAAAGCCACGAATCGTGTGAGGGGTGTGCCGAAAAGGGCGGGGGGGACGCCATGTGGCTTTGTCCGATGGGGCCTTCGGTGAGGCCACGAAACATGTGAATGGTGTGCCGACATGGACACGCAGAGGGCAGAGGCAGAAAGGACAAGAGGGTGCGGAGAGCAGAGGCGAGGACAGGAAGGGGAGGAGGAAAACGAAGGAAGGAAAGTGGAGCGCGGTGTACCAGAGTCAAAACGAGGACCCACCTTCCACGGGGGCGCAGTCCAGGCGGGGACCTGCCTGCGAAGCCACGCCTGGCAGCGCCTGATGACCACAGAGGAGCAGGAGGAGCATCAGCAGGAACAGCACAGGTAGAAGGCGCCTCTGCTCTGATCGCTTTTAGGTTTGCAGTGGACATCCACCCTACATGCCTGGCCAGGTGGGCACCCATCCTGAAGTTGGATGGGGGTCGCGGTCATGGGAGAATGGGGCGACCGGCGGGCGAAAGAGGTGGTGGCGGTGCTGGGCAACTCTAGGAGATGAGGTCATCCAGCAGTCTGCGAAGCGAGTTAACACGACGAAAGAAAACCTGAGTGACAGCGGCGGCGGCGGCACTCAGGGGTGGAGGACGGTGAAGCTACGACTACAGCGATCCACATCTACACTCACCAGCAGGCCTTCCGACGGCTCTCGCCCAGCCGCCACTTAGTATAGTCATCCTCGCTGTTACGCCATCCTCCCTTATCCAAGGCAAGCCCAGTCCAGGCAATCTTCTCAGGGTAGTAGAACCGCATAAAATGACACACCCAAATGACTGGCCACAAGAATTTCTGGAAACCCTGACGCTGCCCCCCCCCCGCCCCCCTCCCGCTGCTTCCAAACGGCATACTGCTGACAACTTAAGAAGGAAACATCAAATAAGATAGAACCCCGATTCTGCTATAACGACGTGACCAGCATGTCAACGCAGTCTTCTCAAGGCGATCGCATCACACCGCAATCACATGTAGTGTTTTCTTTCCTGATGCGTTTAGTTCGTTTCCGCGCATCACGGACATGCGAATCATCCGTTTGGTCAGTAAGTCGCGGCCAACGCAGGTGTCTTTCCAGCTGCTTTGTTTGCGCCGCCCGCAAGGACAGGGCGGCCCTCCTTCTCAGGCGCCGGATAAGGGCGCATTAGAAGCTGGTCGAACACGCAACGCGGTGTATCAATCGAACTTTGAAGCACGGGCACTCGACTTGCTCGCCAGCAAGTCCTGGCCTGCATCGACCGCCGACGTCACCGCGCATGTCTCCACACTGACATCGCGATCCACTTGCCCGCGGGAATTCACGCAAATACCAACGGCCTCCATGACCGAGCCACGTGGTATAATTGCAAAAGCGGGCCAGATCTGAATTCAAAGGTGAGATGCAGAAATGTTGTGAAAAATGGCGTGGCTCGATCATGCTTCGATCCTCCAGTGGATTCCACCCATAACCTTTCAAAGCCGACATTCATGCCCTCCGCGCGTCGCGATCACCTTCAAAGGTAGGCGCCAAAATAAACAAGCTGCCACTCCAAGCCATGAGAGGTTGACTGGCGCAGCTCAACTGGCGGCGCCAATTCACATAGCGAAGTCCACAACATGCCACATCAACCAACGGCATCCCCAGCGAGCCACTCGTCGACTTTTGCCACCCAGAGCGCGAGCAACCAGAGAGGGCCGCATGGAAAAATGCAGGGCCCCGAACAAAACCTCGGGGCGCGCTGCCGCGAGCGACCGCCGCAGCAGTCACAGCCCCGCCACAAAAGTGCATGGTGGATCAAAAGGTTTCAAACGCCTCAGCAACCATGTAGGAATTGCATCGGACGCATCACGACGTTGCAATGATTGCAGACGCCGAAGATGCCAGGCAAAATCGAACGCTCCGGGGATATCAGCCGGAACACACGCGCAGACACATCCCCCTCGCATGCAAGCCTGCGCCAGAAGCATAACGATGAAGACTGCGCCCATAACGCTGCGACCCTCCAGACATGCAAACTGCCAGGGGTCATCGCGAGCGACCTCCCCCACAATAGATTCCAGAAGGGCCCCGCTCCGTTACTCTCGAGGGGGCTGGGGCCACCGCAAAAGCCACCGCGAATCGAACCACGCCACCGCGCGCCCCTTTGGCGCCAAAGCCATGTCATACAAGGCGCGCCGGATATCCACGCGCATGGGCGCCGCCTGTAGGGGGCGCCCAATGAGACAGGCGCGCTTGCATTGCGCTGCGCGAGGGCGCGGCATGACAGCGCAGAACAAGCCGCGAGGGCCCCCGTCGACGGCCCCCCCCCCTGCGCGCCCCCATCGGGCTGTCCACCCCAGGCTGCCTCGATGGGAACTCCATCAACAAGGGCGTCTCTGGCCACCGCTCGCCGTCGCTCTCCGCCAAACACGGACAGCGCATAACACGCACGAGCAGGAACCATCTTGGCCACGAGTCACTGCCATCAAGAGCACCGCCACATCCATCGGTGAGGGGGTCGGCAACTCGATCGACGCCGCGACGGGCGCGACGACCACGAACCCCCCCGAGCTCACCCATCACAGACAGGACGGCGCGACGATAGGACCGGGCGCGATTATCCAAAACAGCGCGGAGCCCCCCTTGCGGCACGACAACAAGATCACAATCCCGCCCATCACAAAATTGTAGCTGACATAACAACTCCTAAACGCTGGATCCATTTCCAGCGGGAATATCAGACCACAATTCCCCCCCTCCCCCCCCCTCCCCTCTCCCCACCACTCCCCACCGCGCGTGCCTTTCTCCTATTCGCCTCCAAAGTGAATGGCTCTGCGCGATCCCGCTCCGCCATTGCACGGGCGCTTTGACCACGGCAACAGGTCGCAGCAGTTTTGCCAGCGATGCTGGAAACACCGTCCGCCACCAAACCAGCTAGAAATAATGTTGCCGCATGTTGCGCACGCAACTCAGGGCGCTGCGCTGACCTACCGATCGGATTCTCCCCTCCCCAGACTCTTGCACATTGGCATCCTAGCGACATAACGCCATACGGTGACCAGTAATCGTCGCAACCGCATCCAAGACATGCGCCAGGCAAACTATCCCACGAAGGGGCGGGGCAACCAAGGGACCGTCGATCGCCGCGCCCTCTTCCACATCATGATCAGACCCACAGGGAAACCCAGTCGGCGCCGCAGCTTATGGGCAGCAAAAATGGGGAAAGCGAGACCACATCGCATTGCTGACAGCATAAGCCAATCTCCGCGACCAGCACGCGCGCCACAAGAGAACTCACCGATGGTCCCATCTTCAGCACATTCTCCTCCAAGCCCCAACACTACGTTAAAGTCAACGCCCAGTCCACACCAGCAGGCAAATGCTGCAGTGAAATGTGCACAAGAATGTTTGAAATAGCTGTGAAGTAGCACTCCTCGTAGTTGGCTTGCGGGAAATGCGCGGAAACGACAAGAGAGCATCTGGCCTCGACGCACACGCGAGCAAGCACAAACCACACTACCAGGAGGGACAAGGGGGAAAGGCAGGAGAGAGCGAATGCGCCGCCGATGGAGAACAATAGGAGAGGCGCGCTGAACCGAGAGAGCTGAACCAGGAGAGGCCACGACAACACACGCTTGCGACCTTGCTGGTAACTTAGAGGAAACGCCGAAGATGTCCCGCCGCAAAAGAACATCAGACTCTCACTCACCAGAGACGAATTCGAGAAGAGTGTCACAATTCTCAAGAGCCACCACGCAGCAATTGAGCGCCTCGACGTCCAGGAGTGTGAATGATATTATTCATGTAAAGCTTAGTTCCGCATCGTCTAGCTCCGCGACGATTGGTTTCGAAAGTCCGGTTTGCTCTTCTTGACTCTCTCCTGCAAGATGTCATTGGTCTGTCTTCGGGACTGCTTGAGCTTCGCAGTGAAGCTTCTTTGCGCACGGCTGGCTGACGAGACACATTGATATAAACCTCCACGTTCCTTTAACCCATCGCATCGGGAAGCCTGATATCCTTCCGCGGGAAAGCAAGCTTGAAGCGCCTGCCATCTCCTTCAACCCACAAACAAAACAGTCGCAACATTCACAAACGCAAGCGTAACGTGACCCTGCTCCATCGTCTGGTGGCTCGCCACCCAAAGCTTGAGACCAAGAAGTAAGAGGCCGCGTGCACCACCACCAGCAAGAACATATAACGCTCTTCCGCTATCTGGGCCCACTGAATTGTCCCTCTCCACACAGACACGATACTGTCCCAGAAGAGCCAGTACAGCACGAACATCACTCACGCAAATATAGAAAGCAACACGGTTGCCAGGAAACGCACACCACCTTCTCGCAATACAATCTGGACCAGACTGGGGGGGACCGTGTCTAGATACGCCATCATATGGCCATTCTCCGACGCACCAAGGCAACAACATATCACAAGATTGAGAGCCTCGTCTCCTCTGGGGGGCAGCATGAGCATACGGCGCCGTCGCCGTCATGGAAACGGCACTCGAACCTGCCGCAACCGATTGGGCCACTCTCGCTGCCTCCATAGCCGTGTTTTCCGCTCTCGTGGTCGCCTCGGTTGCCTTACGTGCTTCAAAGGCTGCCTTCTGCAAAATGTTTGAGACGGCCACACACATGGTGGTTTACTCCCGCCATGAGCTTCACCAAGTCCGCATGGGTCACTTCGCCCGAAGAAACACCCGGGTGCAACACCTCCTAATCTCGGCGGTGGACAAACCTCCCTTTAGCAAACCTTCCCTTAGTGAAAACGGCCTGGGACCGAAACCGACGGACCTGGACCCGCAAAAATGACGGCCGCGACGCCCTCTCGCGAACCGAAAACGGCCGATTCCTTCATCGACGTGTCAGGGTAGGAGGTCGATCCACCCCCCGATAATCAGATTCTAGCACGCGAGAGGGAGAGCCGCTCGCTCCACCTTTGGCCACCTCTGCAATGGGCCGCGCCAGAGCGCCCGCGGGAAGCGGCAAGGCAGCTGGCAGCCAGAATCGCCGTGAGCCCAACTAAGACCCAAGGAGGACGAGGAGGAGGAGGAAGAGGAGGACGAGGAGGACTGCGGAGGAGGACGAGCAGAAGAAGGAGGACGAGAAGAGGGAGAACGAACAAACCGAGGAAGAAGAGGAAGAAGAAGGAGAGGAGGAGGACGAGGGGCACGAGGAGGACGAGGGGGACGGGGGGGGCGAGGAGGACGAGGACGAAAAGGACGAGGAGAAAAGTAGGACAAGGAGGAAGGAGCAGCAGCAGCGGCACCGGCAGGGGCAGGAGCAGCAGGTGCAGCAGCCTCGTCGTCTGGCTTCCGGGTTGTAACTCAACATCGTTTACCCGAGCCCTATCCCAATGGGCGTGGCCCGGGCCTCACTGGCCGATTTATCCCCCTATATGGGGCTATAGGCCGAGTCCTTCGGACTTCGGGGGGTATATCCCCAACTATGGGTATCAGATGGTGGGGGTCTGAATGGGGATAGGGATGGGAATAGGGGTCGGTGAAACGATACCGAGTAACTCGGGTTTCCAGCGGCCGATCGGGACGATCCGAATAGCCTTGGACCACAATCGGCGAGGCGCAGCTGCTGGAGAGCGCCCCAGGGCTAGAACGCCGCGGAAAACCAGCGAAAAACGTCCGAAAACTTCGCACTTCGAACCGCCCGTGACCCCACCCTCGCCGCGGGGAGGCCTGCGGCTGTGCTCCAGGCTGGCCCTGGAAGGCGCAGCCCCCGAACACGGCCCCAGAGGCAGCGCTGAAGGTGGCCATCGCCGGCTGCTGGCCCAGGGCGCCTGCCGGGACGGCCACGCTCTGCCACTGCTGCGGCTGCTGCTGCTGGGGCTGCACGGCGCTCTGCACGGCGCCCGGGTGCTGCGCGCCCTGCTGCGCGAAGGCGTCGTACTGCGGCTGCTGGCCGAAGGAGGAGCTCTGCGCTGCACCGAACTGCGCCTGCTGGGCCGCCGCCCCAAACTGCGCCTGCACCATGCCCTGCCCGCCGGTCCACATCGCCGCGCCCGGAGTGGCTGCCGGCAGGTGGGGCACAGGGGGGGAGGGCGGCGAGGGGCAGGGAGCGGCGGAGTGGAAGGAGGGAGGAGGCAGGAGGCGAGGAGCAGGAGGCAGGAGGGCCGTCCCCGCGTCGTCCTCCTCCCTCCCCCCAGCTGTGGCCGGAGGACCTGCTCACTGTGCCCCCGTGGGGGGGTCCCTCTGCGCCGTTCGTGATTTCTTCCGCGCGTCTTTCTACAGGGCAGTTTTTAATGCACAGGATTTTGAACATATTGGATTTTGGTACATGGCTAGCTTATGAATGAATGTATGCACGAACTCATCGTTGTTTCTAACACTGAACCCCTGCATTTTTAATACATGATCCGCACGCGGAGCATGCATTAAAAACGGCACTGTATTTTGACCACCCCCCCAAGGGGGGCGACCGCCCCTGGGGGCAGTCGCAACCCCTAGGGACCACGTGCCGGGTGCCAACAGTGCCAGCGTCAGCGGCAGGAGGACGCGTCTGGATGTTCTCCCCAAAGCCCTATGTCGGGCGTGTCCCCCTACAGGGGGATTTTCGACGAAACAAATTTCTATATATAACAACGAACAAATTGCCAAAAAATGATATGGGGACCATTGTTTGATCTTTGACCTTTTTGGTGCATGTTGGGGGTATCCTTTTACTTTTTGTCGAAAATCCCCCTGCAGGAGGACACGCCCGACTTAACCCGAGCCCTGCCTCATCGGCGAACGAAGGTCTGCCCTGAAGTGCCCTGGCCGGCCGCCCGACCCACGCGCACCTCCAGCGGGAGAGAGGCGCGGAGGCGACACCCACAGGTGACACTCAGCCCGCCGCCCCTCGAACCCCCCCCCCCCCGAAAAAAAAAAAAAAACGCCCCCCAAAGGGCGGGGGTTCGAGGGCCGCGTCCCGAGGAGAGCCATGCCACCGAGTGCGGGCGGGCGAGGACGGGGAGGAGGTCAAGGAGGTCAAGGAGGAGGAGGAGGAGGAGGAGGAGGAGGAGGAGGGGGAGGAGGAGGAGGAGGAGGAGGAGGAGGAGGAGGAGGAGGAGGAGGAGGAGGAGGGGGAGGAAGAGGAGGAGGATTGTGCTGGATTGTGCCGTGCGACTCAGGAGTCACGCATACGGAAAATACCACACGAGACGCCTTCTCGCCGCGCATAAACCGAATTTGCAGGGGCTTCCCCGTGGACGGACGGCGGCCCTCCCAAAAACGCGACGGTCGACCCTTGGCCGTCCAAGCTCGGGCGGGTTTGCAGCCGCAGCCCTCCTTTCGGGGAGACGTAAGACCCGGGTACGGGGGACTCGGAAATCCCCGACGAGGTCGTCAAAAAAATGACGAGGCCGAGCCTGCATTTTGACGAGGCCTCCCGCTGCAGACATCCCACGAAACTCCTCCTCGTCAAAATCCGAGGCGCGGTCGTCAAAAAACGATGGCGAACCCGGGTCCCGGCAAACCTGGGTCTTACGCTCCCCCGATCCTTCACAAGGCCAACCACACTGAGCGTAAGGGGCGCAACGCCTGCGGAATATCGGGAGCGGCCAAGAGGGGGGTGTCCAAGAGGGGTGGGTGCAAATCATGACTGGCGGCACGTGCGCGGCCCAGCGGGGGGGCCAGGGACGTAATGAAATAAGAAGAGGCGCCATGAGATTCCGGGAAATATCATGGCCCACGCCATGATATCCACCCCCCCCTAGTCATCACCCCCCTCTTTGCCGCCCCCGAGAATAAAAGAATGGGGGGCGAAACGCAGGGTGGTGTCTCAACCCGCGTGCCTTGAGGGCGCGGGCTTCCCAGGCATCGACTTCGACAGACCTGAAGGGGACCCGGGGCACACAAAGAAATACACACAAATAACAGGATTCCCCATGTTTTCCACATTTTCTGGGTTTATGTCTTCCCCCCCACTTCCCATATGTTCCCATATCTTCCTGGGAATCGACGACTAATTGTGTCTGTGTGCTCTTTCCTCTCCTGAAGACCCTGCGCCCGACGGCCCGCTCGCAGTCTGGACCGCGCCCTGGGAACCTCGACGGCCCCTGGGAGCTGCAGGCGGAGGAGGGGGAGGCGGCATCAGGAAGGGAGCGGGGCTCGACTCGGCGGCCTGGCCCCGGGGCCACTCCAATGCAGCCCGGCCCGGCGAGGGTCATCGCACGGACGACGCTGGGAAAAGACTGCGCCCGGCCTGACAGGCTGCCACGACAGGGCTCCTGCTTCTCAGCCTGGCGCGGCCAGAGAGGGCACTCCGAGACTCTGCCCCCGTCTTCGCGCAGTTCGCCCGCGAAGCAGCTGCGTGTGCGGAGTCCCCCGCCGGTCTTGAGCCGCTGGGCGCGACTGCCGCGGGCCTGAACTCTTACTTACTATCTGGATGGCCCAGAACAGTTTGAAAATTTGACGGCACTCCTTATGTCGCCAGAGAAATGTATTTTGTTTCGTCAAGTATAAGAATATCAGAACTTTGTATGTTCTTTTATTGAATATTGGAATTTCAAATTAGAGATCTGCAACCAAAAACCAAGACTCCTGCCTCAGATCGCTGCAGGCCCTGGCTGGGGACGAGCACCACTCCTCTCCCATGGAAGTTCCATCTACGACAGCCTGGCAATCCGCCGACCCCTTGGGGCCACGGCGTGTGAGATGCTTACCCCTCCTCAAACCCCTCCCCCGGGGGCCCGGTCCGGCCGGTTTGGAGGGAGGGGATGGGGGGCAAAGGTGTCGGCCGCACACTTGGAGCCTCAGGAGGCCCCAAAACGAGCCAAAAGGATCCAAAAAGGGTCTCCGAACGGTCCAAGAGAGCTGCGAGTCGACGAAAGGTCTCTCCAAAACGCCGAAGATTGCCCCCAGACGGCCCCATCAACCCCCAAGACTCTTGAAAAAGTACTACGAGGCGCCCCGCGAAGGCCCTCCAGAAGCAAACATCAATCCATTCCTTAGGAAAAACGTACAATTTCAACACATTCGCCTTTTGGGCTTCCACGCGGCCCACGGCGGCCAAAGAAGCCTCCAAGATCGACCCTCTGCAGCCCAAGGGGCTCCCAAAAAGGCTCCACGACGGCTTCCAGACGATCCACGAAGGCTCCAGAAACTATAGCAACGGCCCGGGAGAGTCGCAGGACGGTCCCAAGAGGGCTCCAAAACGGGTCAACAGGGACCCCAAAGGCTGCCCAGACGGCCCACGCGGGGGACGATTCGGTCCAAACCGTCCAAGATTGCCTCCAGACGGCCCCATAGGCCCCCAAGACGTTTGAAAACGCGCCCACGAGGCGCTCCACGAGGGCCTTCAGAAGCAAAAATCGCCCCATCCCCTCAAGAAAATGATACCGGAGAGAAACCCCAATCAGGGCTATAGGGCTAGGGGGCTATAGGGCTAGAGGGCTATTGAGCTATAGGGCTATAGAGCTATAGGGCTATAGAGTTGTAGGGCAATAGGGCTATTGGGCTATTGGGCTATAGGGCTGTAGGGCTATTGGGCTATAGGGCACCCCCAGGCACCCCCAGGCACCCCCGGGCACGCCCAGGCACCCGGGCACCCGGGCACCCGGGCACCTGGGCACCCCCAGGCATCCCCTGGGCACCCGGGCCCCGGGCACCCCCGGGCACCCGGGCACCCGGGCGTGCAGCGAAAATTGGCGACAAACCTAACCTAACCATATGAATCCGCTAGGACCCCTACAGAGGCAAGCTAGGACCCCTACAGAGGCAAGCTCTGATTGGGGAACATACGTTTACAGTACGTTCGCCCTTTGGGCTTCCACGAGGCCTACAACGGCCCAGTAAATCTCCAAGCTTGACCCCCCGACACCCCACGAGGCTCTCAAAATGCTCCTCGGCGGCTTCCGGGCGCACCACGAAAGCCTCAGACACCGCAGCAATCGCAGGACCGTCCCACGAGAGCCCCACAACGGGCCAAGAGGGTCCCCAAAGGCCTCCTGGACGGCCCACGAGGGGGACGATTCGGTCCAAACCGCCCCAGCCTGCCTGCAACCGATTCCCCATAATTAGGCCCCCGAGACGTTTCAAAAACTACTACGAGGCGCTACACGAAGACCTCCACAAGGACAAATCGTCCTATTCCTTTGGGGAAACGTACATTTTCAGCACATTCGCATCTTGGGCTTCCAACAGGTCTACCACGGCCCAGGAAGCATCCATCATCGACCCCCTACAGCCCCAGATGATTTCAAGAGGGTTCGAAGACGGCCTCCGGGCGCACCACGAAGGCCCCAGAAACCATAGCAACGGTCCTGGAGAGCCGCAGGACGGTCCGAAGAGGGCCCCACGACGGGCCAAGAGGGTTCATAAAAGGCCTCCTGGTCGGCCCAAGCCGTTCAACAGTACACCAAGTCGTCCAACATGGCCTCCCGACAGCCCTACAAGCCCCCAAGACGCCTCAAGACGCTACCCGGAGGCGTCCCAAGAAGCCTTCCAGAAGCAACGACCGTCCCATTCTCGATATTCCCATTCTCGATTGAACACATATACTTCCAACACGTTCGTCTCTTAGCCTTTCACGCGGCCCATGAGACCCCTTGCACGCCCCAACACGCCACCAGGACGCGGCCCAAGAGGCCCTCCAGAAGCAAACATCGGCTCGCTCCCTCAGGGACACGTCCAAGTTTAGCACATTCGCTTCTTGGCCTTTCACGAGGTCCACAGCAACCCAAGAAGCCCCCAAATAATTCAAGGAAACCCCATATGCCTCCAAGAGGGCTCCCAGACGGCCCAGGGCCCCCGCAGCCACCGAGGACGGCCCCATGACGGCCCAAAGGGCTCCCCCGACGGCCCCAAAGGGCTCCCCCAAATGTGGGGAGGTAAAGGTGCGGGCCGCACACTTGGAACCTTAAAGGAGGCCCAAAACGACCAAAAAGGTCCAAAAGGCTCCCGGAACGGTCAAAGAGAGCTACGAGTCGACGAGGGATCGTTCCGCAACGCCGAGGATTGCCTCCAGACCGCCCCAGAAGACCCCAAGACGCCCCAAGAAGCCACCAAGACGCCCTCCAGAAACCAAAATCGCCCCGTTACCTACGGACAAAACATACAGTTTAACCACACTC